CTAACTTTGGTCACACCCATGGGATTTCCCCACCCATCTAACTTTGGTCACACCCATGGGATTTCCCCACCCATCTAACTTTGGTCACACCCATGGGATTGCCTGACCCATTGCAACTGCTGACATAAACCACTACATACCACCAATGTTTTACCCAGTTAACCAAGCGCATAAAAGTAAAAGATCAACTCTTTTTGATCCTTGTCTTTAAAAAACAGCAAAAGTTAGAAGACCTAATAAGACTACCACAAGTCGAAACCAGTCATTCATTGGTAGCATTTTTCATGGAAACTGATAGCTAACCCAGTGCAACTACACTATTTAGTACTACGACAGGTATACCGTATATATATATTTCTGAAATGTTTATAATCAAGTTATTGTGACCAAGGAGCTACATATAACATATATGTTATATGTAGCGCTCCTTGATTGTGACCTCCTTGATTGTGACATGCCGAGCTCCTTGATTGTGACACCGCGTGACTTGATTGTTACAGGGTTGTTGTGATTGTTTGGTGCTGCCCAAAGCCCTCGAGTGGCGAAAGGAGAGAAAAGCTAGACGGCAGCACTACAGAAAACAGATGGCAGCACGAGGCCACCATGCTGGATCAGATCATAGATACCAAAGATACTAGAGTGCCGTAGCACTCTATACTAGAGTGCCGTAGTGCCGTTCACTCTACGATCTTTGTTGCCTACGGCACTCTAGAATCTTTGGTTAGTATCTATGATCAGATAGGAAGCAGAAGAAAGCATTCTGCTGATTAGTAATTTCTATCGGTCAACATCTACGAGGTGAGAGGCATTATGCCGCCTGTAAGTAATTGTAGCTGTAGAATTAAGTGCATAGATAAGGATAAAGATATTTCTAAGACCTGAATACATGCCATCTCTTGTAAAAGTTGTTGACAAAGATGAGCAGATAGCATAGGCTAGAAATGTGCATGATTCAGCATCATGCGTATGTACATTGGGAATGTAAGTTTTCTTGAGCTCCGTTTTATCAAGAGTATGGATAGATTCTGATATGATGTGTTTCAACTTCAAGATTTAATAACAAAGTGTGATAAAGTTATGACTACATTTTGTATCTAAGCCAAGCATAGCTCTAGTAACTATAGCCCGCGTACAGTTGCCGCAGACATTGTCTGGCAGAGAATGTGTTTTATTTGGCATACCGAAGAAGTTATTATAGGCTAAAGGTTGTGAGAATAAAACTCCTACGTAGTTGCCATGTTACGCTCTATAGCCCTGCGGCAACTGTACGCGGGCTATAGTTACTAGAGCTAAGCCAAGCAATGCTTTTCTTTTCAATATCACTAATATAGTTAGTAGTGATGTCACGATCATCGGTTGAACAATGGCTCGAACCAAGCGCTTGGTTATCAAAATCCATAATCGATTTCATCGGGAAAAAAAACAGTAGTAAACAGTGCAAAATAAACAGTAAACAGGGCTAAACAAGCACATACATGCACACACGTACATGCACACGACGTTGCGCACACGCAGGCATTCAGCACCTCGAGTAACCGATTGTAACTGATCATCGGTTACTTGGGTCCAACCGATGATCGATTATGAAATTACAACCGATTGACAACACTCATAGTTAGTGACTGTTGGTCCATTGGCGTTCTTATTGTTTCGATGATACGCACGTTATTCCGGTGACATTTACATTGTTTCGACGATATTCACGTTATTCCGGTGATATTTACAATGTTTGATTATGTTCACGTTATTCCTAGGTTATAGTGTGACCCAGGGCAGTTTGTATCCCGCGAAGTTGGCGTGGTCATTTCTACGGTGGCATTATCTAGCTCGATCATGTACTTGGCTCCCTAGGGTATGTGAGCCAATGCTCTCTTGTGTAGCTATTGGTTATAATGTTTTGTATTTTGTATAATGTACAGTGTATAAACTATAAGGTGTTATTTATGTAACTAGTCTATAATTCTAATTATTCTCTACATTAAATGGGGTCGGTACCCCATCAGCATTAAGCTATTGGAACAGTTAATCGCTTGTATGTACATGTTGCGTGGTTTTAAGCGTTAGACTGTCCATGCGCTCATGCATGTTTATTTGCTATGTTCTAGGGTTTTTGTTTGTTCACAAATAAATCGTCTACCCCGCACTTGATTGTTGGAGTCTTTTTCCGGACCTTACATTATGAATCAAGTTAATAAAGTTATAAAATTACCTCTTGTAATGCCAGTATGGCATTGACTTCCCAAAGCCATCCAATGCCACCATAACCAAGTGCTAATACGATCTCTCTGACCTGTAAAAAATCCATTTAACCATCTCTAAAAATTTGCGGCAGAACAGTGGTGGCCTAATGGTTAGCACTCAAAAGTTCGAAGTGTAGCCGAATTGCTTATAATCACAAAGCACATTTTAAAATAAACTTGTAAAAAACCTATAAATACAAATTATTGAAAGGATTTTAACAAAAATGTCCTACTAATTCTTTTTATGTCCAATAAGATGTGTCAATCAATCAAATTGTGGTTATAATGAGCTTCAATGATCAATGATGAGTTTTAAATGTGTGAAAATGTCATATTTGTGGATTGGTTAGTTTCTTCAAATTGAAACCCAATAGTAATAATAGACAATATAAAACTTCTATACCACTTTGGCGAATGGCAACTTCCTCATCACAAGAGTAGTTGTACTTTGGAGCCGGCGTATTTCTCTTGTTCTTGGTCGGTATCGATGTGGTTCTGAAATTTATAAACTTGTAATCTCTATGTATTTATTCGTTATGAAAATATTTTATCTGCCTCAACATACATAATGCAAAATATTCTGAATCGCACTTGCTCTTACCTGCATGCATTTACTTATACACCGGTAAAACTTTTTCCTTGCATATTATGCACATGTGCACTAAGTCCACTAAGACTATAGCATAAACATATGTTATTACATGTAGAGAATGAATCTGAGTCTAAATAGAAAATATACAGTACTACTTCAGATCAATGAAATAGCGTTCCAATAACAAATATCCATAATGCAAAATCACATAACTTAACGTTTCCTCATGGACCTCTGTTATATAATTGGAGATGCATTTCTATAAAATAGATTTCATCCAAAAGTCTCCCAAGCAATCCCCCAGTCTCCCGTTATAGAAGCACAATAGGTGCGTTCACACTGGCGCGAATTAGCGGGCTGCAAATCCCAGTTTTTGCAGCCCGCTCGAAAAACCGAGTTTTTTACAAGTGTGAACGCAATTATAGCTCACTGAATCGCGCTCAAAATAGCGCGCTGCAAAGAACAATTCCGACTGCGCTAATTTGGAATAAGCGCGCTTATTTGCACCGCGGCGTGTTATCCTGCTCGGCGATTAGCGAGATATTTCTGCCTGTGTGAACAACGACACAATTAGCTCACTATTATCTCCGCTATTAGCGGGATGAGCAGCGCGGGTTTTCTTGTGTGTGAACACGCCTAATGATGAATGCAATAATACAATGTAAAAAATAATTATGTAAGAAAGTAACATTCTAATACTACTGGGATGGAAAGGAGGTTCTGAATAAGAATTAGTACCATGTATCTTGAGTAAACTAAACATAGGTCAGATTGCAAGAAAATGCACATATTGCACATGTAGGTATTTTCTCTCAGGGCAAGAGCACATCTAATTTGCTAGTGGCACATTTTAAAGCTGGCTCACCTGACTTGTTAGCAGATTACCCGCATATATGTAATACACTAACTTCATTGACAATGATTGAGGCATTTTTAGGGAATAGACAAACTAGCTCATTCATTTAAAAAAAAGATCCTTAGAAGCAAATTTATGTTTCATATTTTGAGTATATTCAGGGTGCGAAATTAACGCGAGTCCGGAGTCAAATACTCCTTGATTTACTGTCGGACTCCCTGATTTGACATATGCAGGAGTCCGTGTGACTCCCTGAAAATTCTGCTATACTAACTAGTTCATTCCAGAGCGGACTCCCTGATTTGACATATGCAGGAGTCCGTGTGACTCCCTGAAAATTCTGCTATATTATACTAACTAGTTCGTTTCAGAGCACGGCCTCACGGTATTACCGTATTTTTCAGCAAATGTCCAAAGAAAATTTGGCCGACGTGCAACCGCACGAATCTTCAAAATAAGCACAATCATGCGCTATTGTTAATATCGTTGGTTTTGAACTTCAGACTGCGGACTCCCTTATTTTGCTGTGGACTCCTTCTTTTTAAGGGCAAGGAGTCCGTTGGACTCCCTTGTTCAAAAGTTAATTTCTACCCCTGATATTGGTTATATTTTTCTAATTTATGTATGGAAGAATCTGTATTTCTGTAATGCAGGGTATTCCTCTTCTTATATTCATGATACTATAGTGTTTGTATTGATAAAGGCAAATAGTATAAAGAATACAACAGCGCCACACACATACTTTTAGCCGAAGAAGAATTTCCAGTGGTCTTTTTTTTTATTTGCGCCTTTTGTTTTCCTGTCCATCCATTACTGTCCTGTGGTGAATGCCTGACATGTTGTGTTTGTTTTGTGCGTGCCATCAAAAACAACCGTGCGTACCTGAAAATACAAACATTCAACAACAATCTAACCTGCTTTTACTTCCATGCTCTTCCCAGGCTTTCCAGCGGCCCTAAAATTCCTAAAAATTCCTAAAATTTTGAGCTCGCCCTAAAATTCCTAAAAAAACTTAAAAAATGTATGCAATTCCTAAAAAAGGGCTAAAATTTTATTCAAATTCCTAAAAAAAAAATTCACAGATATGTTTGAAGTTTTTGGTGATGAGATGAACTTTTGGTTTGTGTAATTGTGTCTAATGCAGGGTCTCCAGCCATTCCTCATTCTGCGGAATCATTACGATTTCTAGGCTTAATTTCCGCATTCTGCAGCGGCAAGGTTATATTCCTCATTTCAGTTGCACTGTACAAAATTTGCACTGATTGTTCGCATTGTTTTTTTTTCAGGCATTTTGTATCTGGCATGTCTACGGTAAATGGAACAGCCTAGTCAGACAGGCGCTGTCTGCAAGGTGTCGCGTAGTTTGTCTGCTAATCAGACAAGGGTTGTAGGGTTGAGATAGTGTTATCAGACATGAGAATATGGTCCACAGTATGCCTCAGATTGCAGGAAAATGGCTTAAATATTTCAAAATTTTCTGGCGGAAAACTTCCCCAGACCCCCCTAGCACTGGCATGCCTACGGCACGCGGGCCTGCTTGTGGCAGCCAAGGTACATTTCGCCCCCCCCCGTCCATCAATTTCTGAATACGCCACTAGTACGAGGCGCCATGCAGGACAGGGCTCAATTTTGTCTAACAAAACTCAATTCTGTCTCACAAAACTCAATTTTGTGAACACAAAACTCAATTCTGTCAATCCTGTACCACAAAACTCAATTTTGTAAACACAAAACTCAATTCTGTCAATCCGGTGCCGCGTATCCACAAACTCAGATTTTGCTGAACACAAAAACTCTAATTCTGTCAATCCTGTTCCACAAAACTCGAATTCTTGGTCGAAACCGGTTTTTTTGTTATTTCTAACACAAACTCAATTTTGTAAACACTAAGACTCGAATTTCTGCTCGATCAACCGTTGGTGCGCTCCGGGACAGCAAAACTCAATTTTTGCTAAACACAACAACTCAATTCTGTCGAACCGGTTCCAAAACTCGCCCAGTCTTTGTTGCCCATATATGGCTACGTAACAGGCGTATAGCCTGAAGAAGGGCTTACCATTGCGTTTCTTCTGAGCGCGAGATGGCAGTTATTCGCTTCCTATGAGACATTGCTGTGAAGTTACAAGGGGATTAGGGAGTGTCCTGTTGCACAAGTTATTTGAACAGGGGCAACAAAATCGAGTTTTGTGATCGGAACCGGTTCGAATACAGAATTTGAGCCCTGGAGTTCCTGCCACTATTTAGTGAGACGCCCGCGGTGGAAGGATAGAGTCCCTAAAGTCGTCATAGTTTTGTGAACATCGATAAAATACAATATCTGCATCAAGTCTCTTCGTACCACAGGAAGACAGTGACTATGGAATATTGTCTAGAACTCACAAAACTCAATTACCTGTCGAACCGTGTTTTATCAACATTTACAATCGAATGTGTTGTTGCGCGCATATATATAGTGTGGCATCACGAGGCGTATGTCTAATGAGCATAAGCTGTAGCATTGACCATTGGTTTCGATGTCTAGCACACTAAGTATCGGTAGCCTATTTATAAGCTTACCTTAGCATGCATGTGCTGCCATATTTAGGCTGCACAAAATCTGAGTTTTGTGGAAACCGGGGATATCGACAGAATTGAGCTACTCTGGGTCCTGCCATGGCGCCCCGTACGCCATGCCAGGACAGGGCTCAATTTGATTTTTTGTTGCCAAAATATGGCACACGCCATGCCTAAGAAGGCGCTACCATTGCTCAGAGAAAGAAACCAATGGTTAGCCCTTCTTACATGCGCGTGCTGCCATATTTGGCGGCCAGCAACAATCCAAAACGCTTGTGTGTAAGTTACCAGGGAGCGATATGAGAGTCGTGTAACGTTACACAGGGGTATACGGGA